TAGGGCTTCAAATACACGTCTCCACTTGCTCCTGTCTTCTGCTGTACATTCCACTTGCATCCATGTTTGTCCATACTGTTTCAACTCCTCTTCACACGATCTCCTCCATGTCACCATTGGACGTCCCACTCGCCGCTTCCCTTTCGGGTTCCACTCGAGCACTGGTCTGACGCGCGATGTCACCCAACGGCCTCCTCAGCGTGAGTCCAATCCATCTCCACTTTCTCATGCATATTTGTTGAGCGATTGGTTCTTGTTTTGTTTGTTCCCATAGTTTCTTGTTGGTGATTCTTTCCGGCCATCTGATCTTGAGTATAGATTGAAGACAGCTGTTGATAAAGGTTTGCAACAGGCTGTTGGATATATTCTTTGTGACCCGCCAAGTTTTTGATCCGTATAGAAGAACTCACCTGACGTTTGTATTGAAAATCCGAATCATTTTGTTGTTGATGCTGAGTGAGGAAGATTTCCAGATTGGTTTCAGGTTGATGAATGTGTTTCTCGCCTTCCCGATTCTCCACTTGACATCCTCGTCCGTTCCTGTCTCCTGTAGTTGAGATAAGTGAATGAAGTAACCTCTTTCAAATCCCTACCGTTGATGGTGATTGGCGCTGGATGTTGCTGCTGCTGTTGATGTTGTTGATTTGTTATTTTCATAACCTCCGTCATGTCTATGTTCACCTGGAGTCCTGTCTTTGCTGCTTCTTTGACCAGTTTTTCGCTTTTCGCTTGTAAGTCTTTGATTTTGTGTGACATCAAACATAAGTCATCCGCAAAATCCTGGATTAGTAACTTGGAATTCTACGCTCTCTTGTCCACGCCAAGTAAAATACCAAGTCGCGTCATCCTGGAGAGAATAAAAACGATGCACTGGATGCAGAACTCCGCCCACCGCAACAGGCTGGATTCAGGAAATACAAATCATGTGCTGATCAAATTGCAACTCTACGCTTCGTCATCAGATAACAAAGCATAGAATAGCAGTCAAACCCACACTTCAACCTCCTTCATCTATTTCGAATAGGCGTTCGAAAGACAGCATTGACCGAGAAGTAATTTCGAAACTGCTTCAACACTACGGCGTGCAGTGCTCAAATCCTTATCATCTTTATTCAACAACTGGTTATATGACAATGCCACGTGTCAGGTGATCCACAGCGGAAAACTCAGCAAGATGTTCGAAGTGAATAAACGAATATGCCGAGACTGCCTGCAGATTATCATCAATGATATTCTTAATTGTCGTGAACTTGATTATGAGGCAGACTGTGTGCTGGCACTTAGAAGACAAGAACACACTGCACTGACGGATAAGAAGACTGACTCTATAAGAACTAGAAATCGTTTGTGGAAGATTTATGCTGAATGTCACACACAGAAACTTGGAAAATTGCAAGCAAAAACCAACAAACTGGCTGAAGAAGCAGTCAGCGAAGACAGCGCTCCATTCCAGGTGAACATAGAGGATGGAGGTGATGAAGATAACCAACTAACCACCACCAAAAGCAACAGCAACAGCAACAATCACCGCCAATCATCATAGTTTCAACAACAAGCAGTCGGAACGGATGAAGATGTCAACAGCAGCCAGCCAGTATCGGAAATGCCAGATACACCTTCATCAACCTGAAACCAGTTTGCAAATCCCATGCTCCAACTAGGCCAACGTAAAGAACAAGATTCGTATTGTGTTCAATACAAATGTCATATCGAGAATCAGGAAGGCGAGAAACACATTCATCAACCTGAAACCAATGTGGATATCTGAGTCACTCAGCATCAACAATAAAATTCGGATTTTCAATACAAACGCCAAGTCAGTCAGTTCTTCTATACGGATGGATCAGAAACTTGGCGGGTCACAAAGAATAATTCCAACAGGTTGCAGACCTTTATCAACAGCTATCTTCGTTCTATACTGAAGATCAGATGGCCGGAAAGAATCACCAATAAGAAACTATGGGAACAAACAAAGCAAGAACCAATCACTCAACAAATATGGAGGAAAAAGTGGAGATGGATTGGACACTCGCTGAGGAGGCCGCTAAATCACATCGCGCGTCAGGGCATTGCTCGAGTGGAACCCAGAAGGGAGCGGCGAGTGGGACGTTCAAGGGTGACATGGAGGAGATCGTGTGAAGAAGAGTTGAAACAGTATGGACTAACATGGATGCAAGTGAAAAGTACAGCAGAAGACAGAAGCAAGTGGAGGCGTGCAGTTGAAGCCCTATGTTCCACTTGGAACCCAAGGGAACAATAATTATAAATCAACTCAAATGTGAAGTCAGTTAGTCACTTATTCTATACAAGTCAGAAATTTGACCAGCTTGCTTCACGAAGAGGATTTCCTACAAGTTATACAGACTTTTATCAACAGCTGTCGACTTCATTGGCTCCATTCTGAAGACCGAATGGCTGGCCGGTCTGCAGGGTAGCCAGAAAGAATTAGTAACAAGGAACTGTGGCTGACGGGGAACAAATCAACAGGTAACAGCCGATTGCTTAGCGAATATGTCGGAGAAAATAGAGATAGATAGATAGGGCATACGCCACTGAGGAGGCCATCGAATGACATCGCGCGCAATGCAGGCCACCACTCAAGTGGAACTCCACTGGTGACTGGTGCTTCGTCAGTGCAAAGGTGACATGTAGTAGATCGTGTAAGGTGGAGTAGGCGATGAGAGATTATCAACAGTGTTGTAGCCATCCAAATGAAGAGGACAGCGGAAGACAGAAGAATATAGAGATGTGTTGTTGAAGCCCTAAGTTCCACTCTGAACTCAAGAGAGTAAAAATAATAAAGAAAATTAATATAATACTATAATGTATGAATGAGTTGTATTATTGATTTAGCAAAAAATATCGTCGATGGATAGAATCTCCTCCTGATGGAGATGTTAACAGTCACTTCCATTTATGGATAACAGAATCCAGGTCCAGTTACTACTTGAGCAGGCCATCCCCATCTGCAGATAGAAAAGGAATAAACATGGAATTGTGAAAATACCCACTCCTCTGGATAATTTTAGTTTTGGTCATAAGCTAAATTAATCAAATTTTAAGCGGCGCCTGAAGAGTAAAACTGTAGCGTCAGACCTCTACAAGTGGTATTATATCACTCACTGATCCGTCCAACATCAAAAAAGTATTCCTCTTCATCGAATGTGAGTAAAGTAAGAACACGGTACTTGTAAATGCTACGTAATATCTATTGAGAGGAGAATCCAAAATAAATGTATATCGCTCAGGCTATACACAGAATGTTCGAGTCTAAACGAAAAGGAAATGCATAAGTACGATGGCAAAAAGAGTGACGTAATAAAGATAGGAAGTGGATAAGAGGGTGAGTAACCAATAAGCCGAGTAACAATGTGTTGAATTCAACTGTAGTCACAAAAATCGGAGAAAAGCAAAACTACATTATAGTGAAGACGAAGAGGTTAAGTGCCAAAAATGAACACTAATCAAATAAAAGTATCTGGAGTCAGAGCAACAAATGACTGCCAGTTGCTCCCTTCTGAGCACGTGAATTAGTTTTCAGGAGTTTGACAGCAACTGCTTCGCAAGACTTCAGAAGGATTTAACTGAATTATCTTGCCAATGAGATGCCAGGCAGTGGCCCTATTGGAAACCTGTGTCCCCTTGGGACGAAGAATTTTTGGTTTATGACCAGAATAATAAAGGTGGGCCCTTCCTTCTGTTCTCTCAATGCCAAAAATACATGTAAATTTGTATACATAATTGGAGCTAACATGAGGCCTCTGTCTGTCGACTATCAGCTGCACTACAGAGCATGTTGCGCAATAAACGATTACAAACCTAGCTGTAGGATAGATTCTGGTTGGCGAGTTTTTCAATCTGCTTTAGGCTATGCACAGGTGATGAGAAGCTGACAACACGAATGATAGTGTCATCTCATTCTGCATAAACCGCCTTATTCAGACCCATTTCGCACTTTCTCTTTCAACTTCAAAAGATAGTTTGTCATAAAAATCGTCACCAACTGGAGATACTCAGACGGTC